GGTCGTGGGTACCCTCACCTTCCCTATGACCAAAGAGACAGTGACATACCCGAGGGTCCTTCTTTTATTACTGGCGAATCCAGCGATGAAAGTCATTTTTCTGACTAAACTTGACTCGCGAAGTCCAAGCTGCTCATATATGGACAAAGCATGACATTAACTGAGGCCCCCATTGTCTAGAAAAGTCCTTTTCAACTGTACCCCATTGATCTTGGTGGTGACGTAGAGCAGACGATTGTGCTTCTAGGGTACCTGGCGATCCCGCTCTGTGAAGGTGACGGCATTAGACCTTTTCTTGATACTATGGGACACCAAGCCTTCCGCAGCATGCACTTCTCGGGCCCTAAGAGCCCATCAGCACGCAAGTCTATGATGGCCTTGGTGGTTGCCAATCTGGTACCATCAGTAAGTCCCAACTGATTAAAGAAATTTTTAAACTTGACTGTTTCCTTTAAGATACATGCACTCGTGTAGGGGTCAATTTTCTGGCACATCGTGACACTCTTCTAAGGTCTCTTGATTTAATTGGATTTTAGGCCACTCTTCGAAGTTTCCTTCTGTTATATCCTTAATTTTGTCGTAGAACAACACCATGTGCACCTCTTTACCTTCTTCGTAGTCTATGAGAGGTTGATCATGGACATTGCCCTCGGCGCCCATTAGTACCAACTCTCCACTCTTTAAGCACTTTTGAAATAGTCGGCACATGGTCCAACAATCCTTAAGGTTTTGCTTGGAGTGGCGATGAAATTCACAGAAGGTCGGGCTATTTTTTTCGTCTCTAGTTGGCTCCTTTTCCATTGTTGGTAGCTCGACATCGTAGTTCTTAATCTATTCCATGAGAATCTGTCGGACTTCCTTTATACCACAAGGATACAGAGGTGGCTCCTTAGGCTTGGAGACTTTCCCCCGCTTCTTTGGTCACTAACCCTCCTTCGGGACCTCTTCAACAACTTCAGCAGCTGCTCCTTTCCTCTTGTCCTTCCAACCAGCTATCTTCAGCGAGGGCTGGACCACCTCCGAAAGCCTTTGAACAGATTCACATAGCCTAGTAAAGGTTTTAAATTCACTGTTCACCAAGTATGCCTTGTATTTATTGTGCATTCCATCAATGCAGATTCGAACAAGGGCCTTTTCGGTGACATTTTCTTAGCACTCAATGGCTTTATCACAAAACTTGTCAATGTATGTCATTAGGGCTTCCCCATTATCCTGGATAATCTTTGTCAGGGAAAGTACCGTAGTACACTGCTCGACGTGAAAAAACTTTGCATAGAATTGTGTGACCAAGTTGTCCCAATTCCTCACTGATTCTACCGGGAGGTTAGCATACCAGGTGAAGGCTTTGTCCTTGAGGGACTTGGAAAATTTCCTCATCTGAAGGGGCTCAGGAGTACATAATGACCAAGGCTATCAAGATATCGCATAATGTGCTCCCTAGGGTTGCCATTTTTCCCATCAAACTTCGGCGGTGAGTACCCTGCAGGATACATGGCTTGCTGCATAGCCGGGGTGAACTTAGACCTTATGTCCATGATCATCGACATAGGCTCTTTCTGTCTATCTAGCAAGACCTGTATTTAGGCTAGTGTGACAAACCCAGCACTAAGCACTGGTCATTCTGTGCTAGCCGAGTACGGCGTCCAAGCGGTCGTTGATGAAAACAAGGTAGAGGCGATGGGGCCAAAAATGCTGAAAGAGTTTGACCCCACACTTGGGTAGTTGTCGGTGTTGTTGTAGAAATGGTGAGAAGAGCCATCTGGGAAGCTGCGAGGCCATAGTTGTAGCCAGCCGCAATGCGCTCACATCCGAGAACCGTCGGGAAGTTTAGGAAAGGTGCACCTGTTGTGGTTATGGGTATGACCACGGTGGGTACCTCGGAGGTTATGACATTTTGAGGGCCCGTCACAGCTATTTGCTGTAGAGGAGTAAGAGATCCCGTTGCGATAGTTTGCTGCAAAAGTGCTAGAGGGTTGCCTGTGGTAGTTTGTTGTGAAGGAACCAGGGGGTTAGTTGCATCAATTTGTTGTGGAAGTTGTAGGGGTTCACTGGTAGGGTTTTGCAAAGTTAAGCCATAGGGGCTCGACTTCCGTGATGCACCATTATCGCTCGACAGTGCCATTGGAAGAGATGCATGCAAAGTCAAAAGTGGTGGCACTGGATACTGCGGGAGCAATGGTAAGAACATTGGTGGGTTTTGCAAGCCAGGTGGTAATCCAGGTGGTCGAAAATACATCTGAGCTTGAATCATCTGCATTACAGCAGCCATCTGTTACTGCAGAATTTGCATATTGTGCAGAGCTTGCGCCATTACGGAGGGCCTTGGCACCTCCGTAGCCCTTCGACTCGTAGAGGAACCATGGCTATTCTCGTGCTGGGGTGGGCTTTTCTCCTGCTTGCCTTCCTTGTCGTTGTTGTTTTCGGTCATCGTATTAGACAATACTTTTCCACTTCGAGTTGTAATAGGGATAGACTAGCGAGGACAAACCTTCCCCAGTAGAATCGCTAAAAGAATATAGGTGGGGAGTTAAAAGAGGTTGACACACGTGTCTATGCCAAGTGTAATCGAAGGGAGTGAGTAGGATAAGTGGATGGGATGGAAGGAACTCGAGCAGCCTGTTAATGGAGGGACAAATCAGTTAGGTAGAGGGTAAGTGAAAAATATTCTCACCAGCCAGAAAAATCTTCCTCTGCAGTGGGCAAGTAATGTGGATATTTATAGCATAGTGTTTGGGTAGGTCGAGCTGCCCAAAGGGCTGTCCGCCGTGACCCCCTACTACTCGCGCTAACCCATAACTGCCTCGACTGTGATGATACCAATAGCCATTAACGACGAGTTTTACGTCACAACATTAACTAGACAGATATGATGTTTCCCCAAACATAACCTAGACATGGCCCTAAGGAAGGTGCAATAGTTAAGGTGAGGGCAAGCTCCCAAGGTCCACGACTGCGACTGGTCATCGTGGGACCATGACCTTGAGAGGGTCATGTTCGCGATGCCCCCAGCGCACTGCTATCTAAGGTCCTTCTTTCTCTCTCTAAACCCTTCCTCGAGACCTTTGTCAAGGTGGCAGATAGAAGAAACTTACATAGTTTTGGTCATTCAGCCACCAATCCACATGTCCCATCATTCAATATACTAATCCGAACCAATAACCCCAGTTACCTTAGGAGTCTCTCCGGATCCCAATTAAGCGCATCCCAACGGGTAGTGAGCCATACACTAGGAGGCCTAGTTGAGTAGACTAAACCTTCGAGACCTTACCCCAAGTCGAGGTTGACAATCATGCTTATCCATCCCCATTGCTCANAGAATATAGGTGGGGAGTTAAAAGAGGTTGACACACGTGTCTATGCCAAGTGTAATCGAAGGGAGTGAGTAGGATAAGTGGATGGGATGGAAGGAACTCGAGCAGCCTGTTAATGGAGGGACAAATCAGTTAGGTAGAGGGTAAGTGAAAAATACTCTCACCAGCCAGAAAAATCTTCCTCTGCAGTGGGCAAGTAATGTGGATATTTATAGCATAGTGTTTGGGTAGGTCGAGCTGCCCAAAGGGCTGTCCGCCGTGACCCCCTACTACTCGCGCTAACCCATAACTGCCTCGACTGTGATGATACCAATAGCCATTAACGACGAGTTTTACGTCACAACATTAACTAGACAGATATGATGTTTCCCCAAACATAACCTAGACATGGCCCTAAGGAAGGTGCAATAGTTAAGGTGAGGGCAAGCTCCCAAGGTCCACGACTGCGACTGGTCATCGTGGGACCATGACCTTGAGAGGGTCATGTTCGCGATGCCCCCAGCGCACTGCTATCTGAGGTCCTTCTTTCTCTCTCTAAACCCTTCCTCGAGACCTTTGTCAAGGTGGCAGATAGAAGAAACTTACATAGTTTTGGTCATTCAGCCACCAATCCACATGTCCCATCATTCAATATACTAATCCGAACCAATAACCCCAGTTACCTTAGGAGTCTCTCCGGATCCCAGTTAAGCGCATCCCAACGGGTAGTGAGCCATACACTAGGAGGCCTAGTTGAGTAGACTAAACCTTCGAGACCCTACCCCAAGTCGAGGTTGACAATCATGCTTATCCATCCCCATTGCTCAATTTTCCCTTGAGGAGGACCGTACTTCCATATCCCTAGATGGGGACATCTCATCTTAGTCCAGTGGCTCGATTGAGCAATGGTGTCCAATAGGTTGAGGATACCACTCCTGCAATGGGGGAGACGAGTTTTGTCGTGGTTGCACCATACTTCTGCGATACAATTCCCGCAAAGGGGCGTCGCGCCCAAGAATGCTGNGGGAGACGAGTTTTGTCGTGGTTGCACCATACTTCTGCGATACAATTCCCGCAAAGGGGCGTCGCGCCCAAGAATGCTGCACTTGATATTGTTGTCTATACCAGTTCAGTTGAACTCTTTCAGGCCTCATTTTTATGTCAATTGATAATCGTTGCCACTTGTCTTGTTATAGCGGAGACACGTGTTTTTTAAGTTTTTCGAGTACTACATTTGCCCCCTGTGCGCGCCAAGTCATGGGAAGCGTTCTACGCGCGCACACCATTTTTCATCCGCACTTGTCGTTTGACTACAACTATCTGACCGTGGTGCCGATGAAAATATGTGGGTATAATTGACTTTATGATAATAATTAAGAGTGAAATAGGAAATCAAAATTTTTGCTGACATTTATAAGTAATTAAGGGTGAAATAAGAAATTCAAAATTTTTCACATATACTGACATTTATAAATAGTATAGATATAAATATAGATATAAATTATTAATTTTGTATAAAATTTTGTTGGGATTTAAATTTTTAGATCGGATATATGATTATTAACGGATATGATTATGGAGTAAAACTTTAAAATTCGTTGAGTAAAGCGAACAAATTCAATTTTTTATCGGATCCGATCCAGATCCGTTGACAGCCCCCGACATGCAAGTATGCGAATCTGGGCAATCCAGGCAAAAGAAATGGGCGCACTTTCATCGGCATGAACCAATGGTTTTCAAGTTCAACAAAGCAAACACAAGTACAGGAGTCGGCGTCCACCGTCTTTACTACAGTCGGCAACTCGATTACTCTATCTGTGTGGAAGATAGAGGCGGAACCCTAGCTCCGCTCAGCTCAGTCGGAGAATCTCGCCGGAGCCCTGATTTTTAAGAACCCTAGCTCGCAGAAGAGCGCAATATGGGGAAGAAGCAACACAGCAAGGACCGTATGTTCATCACGAAGACGGAGTGGGCCACCGAATGGGGCGGCGCCAAATCCAAAGAAATTCGGACCCCTTTCAAACGTCTCCCCTTCTATTGCTGCGCGTACGATTCTCCTCTCTCTCTCTCTCTTAATTTATATGCTTTCATATTTGTATTGATTTAATTTTGGAATAGCCTTTGACTTTGTAGATTTTCATTGCAGTCTCACGTTTACCCCTTTCGAGGACCCAGCGTGCACAGAGGATGGCAGCGTCTTCGAAATAATGTAATTATCTCTGCAACCTCTCGCCAAGTCTCATTACTCAATTGCAATTTGCATTCTAAGCAGATTTCAATTGTATTTTTTTTTATTTTGGTAAAATTACCGAGTTGTATTGGATTTGTTTTAAAATTCGGGTGCAGGAACATAATTCCGTACATCAGGAAGTATGGGAAGCATCCCGTTACAGGTGCTGCGCTCAAGCAAGAGGATCTCATCCCACTGGTGTTTCACAAGAATTCCGAAGGTATTTACTCATGTATTTGCTTGATTTTAATTTTGGGAACATTCAAGTAGTGGCTGGTAAAGAATGTAGGAATATATAACAAATGGGGCATGGTTATTATATTACTGATAAAGTGAGAAATCAAACTAAAAGAAACTGCATGAATAACTTGAGCTTAGTGTAGCTGAAACTTGAATGCATAGTATAAGAGGAAGGAGACACTAAATTCATTCAATGACATAAGCATTTTCCTCTTCATATAGATCTGCTTTTATAGGAAGAATGCCAATAATTAATTCTTAGGGGGCATAACTTCTGATCAGTTGATTGAAGCAATTTATGTGTGCTTTACAAGAACACTTGAAGTGTTTTTGGGACACAAGTGAATCTGTGTAGTAGTAGTTAAAATTATGTATGCCGAGTGATTTGAGGTATTGTTTCATGCAGCTTCGACAAAGTGAAGTTGGTCCTTTCAAGAGAGATGCAAACATTTGTAGGATGTAACAATTAAACAGTTGACATAGGAAGTTACGGATTGTGTGATGATTGGGGATGTTCTGCATTTATCTGGCGGCCTTGTGATTTATTATGCTTTGGGGTGTGGTGGTTCATCGTTTTTTTAGTCAATATTGGTATTTACAAGAAGTTGTCTGATAGAGGAGTTCTATATGCAATCCCCTCCTAGTGCCCTTGATTAATGAGGATCAAGCTGGATAATGACCCTTTACGACCCTTTTCTTTGATATATGAGCTCCTTCCATGCTAGAAAAATCACTAGAAATGGATTTTAAGAGGTGATTTTTTTTACTGGCATTGCTACATTGCAGTTGATTAGTGTTTCATGAACTGCAAACAATGAGCACGAGGTTAGAAAAGGGAGAGTATGAGTGATGATTTACTCGAGCTTGGGATCAATAGTCAGTTGGTGACTTGACTTAGTACATTTATTACAGTCTAGGTAAACACAGATGCTTAAGAATTCATTATCTTTTGTTATGTTCAACTCAGTGATGACAAAAGAAAGTAATATGTTGCATATCTTCAATTTTTTGTTCATGACATGAACTTTTCAGCCTCCGCCCAAAATCCTCCTCTCACTTAATAGTCATGTACATCACTATAAAATACAGGTGTTTTCCTGCTGTATATATTATTCTCAGATATTTGTTTTATGTTCTACTGGCCATAGAATTCTTTTGGAGTACTATTTCTTTTAGATTCATCTTAATTTTTTTGCAGGGGAGTATCACTGCCCGGTGTTGGACAAGGTTTTTACAGAATTTACCCACATAGTTGCTGTAAAGACAACAGGAAATGTGTTCTGCTATGAGGTTTGTTCCTTCATCAGTCATAGTGTTTGTATGTTGGTTCTCTCATTTCTTGTACATTATGCTTCTGTTCTGCTTTGAAGCCATTCCAATTTGAGAAGTACATGAATAAGAAAATTTTCAAGTGTATGTATGCATCATGTCATTCAAGGTCTGTTTCAGTGGGAGGTAATGAAATAACCTATCTGACCAGGATTGAGGCATGAATGAGATAGTCATCATCTAAACAGTAGTAATCCTACTGTCTGGCAAATCCATTCTTTGCTCTTTTGAAGCACCTAGTTTGGCAGGCCTCCCCCCCCCCTTTTTTCCTCTTCTTCTTTCTCTCTCTGGAACCCATGGCGATGGTACTCTCATTTGTGGAATCACATAGTCAGATGTCTCTATTCTCTAGTTATTTCTCATCTCTCGTGAAAGCTCCAGTGCATCTCTATTTGTCTTTTAAGTTTTTTGACTCTTGAGAAATATGAGTATATAACAAACTGTGGAATATGGATTAGTTCTTATGCTGTCCCTATTTGAAGGAAAAAAATGCTTATGCAACGGAACTTAGGTTTATTCATGAAAGTTCAGTTAAATGGCAACATGATAAGTGCAAGATAGAGTTTGAAATGTACATAGGGGTGTTAATTGAGCTGAGTTTTGGTGAGCTTGAGCCCGAGCTTGTCTTTAAAAAATTGTTCATGATCGGCGTGTTTAGAAAATGAACTGAGTTCGAACCCGGGCCGAATTCCGAGTAATTCTACTATTTTACATATAAACGAGCTTAAAAAATTGTTTAAAATCATTCGTTTAGAATACGAGCTTGAGCTTGAACCGAACTTGAGTTGCTTGTCTCGATTAACACTCCTAAATGTACATATGTTATCCAAGGTTTCATGAAATGTCATTCATATCTCCTCCTCTATTATCTGAGGTACATATCAACATTGAAAAATATGTGATGTTACTAAGTGCTATTGTTAGGTTGACTGTTTATGTGACTATTGAAAAGAACGCTTTTGGTGAAGAAAAGTGTAATACTTGTACTTATATCTAAGAAACAAATTTCGTTTCTGGGCATTGTTTCGATCACCTTATAAATGAAAATGTTTCGGATATATTTCGAAAAAGTTTCGAAAACATAGCGGAAACAGATAAAAATTTTGGGGCTTTATTTTCAAATCATTCCAGACCATTAATCAAAATATACCAAGGGTTTCAGTTTTGTTTGTCGTAATTTTCACCCAACTTTTTATATAAACCAAACAATATGTGTACTTATTAGTACTTGTATTTTTCCTTTCCTTATTGTACAAAAGGTTTAAAATATCGGCCTAGAGTTGTATCCGTCTTGGCCACCTTCATTTCGATATTGCTAAATGTTACGAGAATATCACTAGATTCATCTGAATCTATGCTGACTTGGAGGTATCGGCCCAACCATGGTTACCGCAATTTACTAATCCCTTAACAATCCACGATCTGGGTCCATTGATCCCAAACGAGATGGGTTCGTGATCTAGATTACCAAAATAGATGACTCTAAATTGTAATACTAACCTTAAATCAATTCATTTTATAACATGTAGTATAAATTTAAAATATATATTAATTGACTACATGTATATAGATTTATAATTATATATTGTTTTAGATAATAGAAAATCAAGCACAACTATAAGATAAATGATAACTATCTTAGTGTTTATGAATGTTCTGTAATATATAATGTTGTATAGTAGTGAAAACGATCTACGTAAGAGTTTCAAAATGAATTGCGGTCAAAAATACCGTATATGCTAAACCTACCTCCATTGTACCGCGTATCTAAGAAATTGTCGTATCATGTACCTGTACGCGTACCATGTATCAAAGCGACACACGATCCAGGTAACATTGGGTCCAACTTGGAGTCAAATCATTTGACTCAGACCGATACCACTAGAGTCGGCCTCGGCCTCGGCCTGCAACTGTGAAAACATCAAAAAATAAAGAAAAAAGAAAAACAGACTTGTGGACAGTCCAGTCAGTTCGATCCATGGATGAATAAACCAAATGAATAGGGAATGAAATGAATAATCAAAAATAAGAGACTTACCTCTGGTGAAAGCACATGTAAGATGTAACTCATCAAATATTAAACCTTAAATTAGGAACCCCTCTTATTCTTCAGCTACAAGAAGCAGAGGCCAAGCTTCATCTTTTTGCTTCCCAAACAACGATAGCCTCAATTTGATTGAAATTTTCGCTCTTTCTCTCTCTCTCTCTCTCTATACATACATACATATATATATATATATATCCTAGCATGTCTCTTAACCATGTCGGACATTGTAAAGATGGCCCACTGTTATAAAGTATTATAAGTATAATACTATTCCACTTAACTAATGTATTAATAAATTTCCTAATTAATATATTAGGTGATATATTTACACACTAAAATTTCTTACAATTTTTTTATGTACCCCATACATAAATTGAAACTTTTTTTTTAAATTGTTTCACTATATTTAATGTGTTTGATGATGCAGTTTGGACATGTAATGCATAGATGTTGTTCATATTTATTAAGATTTTTTATGATTTTTTTTAGAATTTTTGGGCCTTATATCTAGCATTTTTTGCATATTGGCCGATACTGTGCCAAGACGCCGCGATCGGTGTGTAGCAATGCCCTCCAAGTTGATGGCTGATGCCGTGATCTTGAATCATGATTGTACTAGCTCTTGGTTTATGTTTGTATTCATCTATTTGGTTTTGTTACATAGGCAATCAAAGAACTAAACCTTAAGACTAAGAATTGGAAGGAGCTTCTCACTGATGAACCATTCACCAAGGAAGACCTAATAACAATTCAGGTAAATCTGGCTCTATTTTTCTGTCCTCCTGCCTGGCTGTGATGAAATTTTGTTTTTAACTTCTAACAGCCGGATTATAACAAGGTTGTCCTAACTGATGTTATGCTCAGTAGAATCCGAATGCACTTGATGGCAAAGTTCTCTTGGATTTTGATCATGTCAAAAATAGTCTGAAAGTCGATGATGAAGGTGCGCAATTTTACCCTGTTAGTTCTTCTAAGGGTCTAGTAGTAGAATGATTTTTTTTATAATTGTGAATTTTTCGGTTTCTCTTTGCTAGAACTAAAAAAAATGGAGTCAGACCCCACCTATAACATAAATGTGACGGGGGATATCAAGCAAATGTTGAAGGAGCTTGGAACTGAGAAAGCAAAGGAAATTGCATTGCTTGGAGGAGGTGGAAACAAGGCACAAAACGAAAGAGCAGCTGCTCGTGCTGCCATTTTAGCTGCAAGAGCACGCATCAAGGACAACCAAAACGATAGCATAAATGCCAAGCAAGCCTTCAGTATTGTAGATGCTGCATCTGCTTCTGTACACGGAAGAAGTGCTGCTGCAGCAAAGGTTTCGTCAAGTGATAAAACTACGGCCAGGATAGCCATGCACATGGCTGGTGAGAGGGCCCCAGTTAATGCAAAGATGGTTAGTTGTTTTCCCCAAATTAGAGTTTTTTATAAAGGCAAACACTCTCCGAAAGTAATAAAGAATTGTATGTTTTTCTACTATGTATTAGCTATTTCTTTAGTGCGGGTTATGCTATCTACCCCTCATGTGATTAGCAGTCATCTTTTTCTTAGGCATATGCTCCTTTTTTTCTCCTTATAATTTTTTTGTAGGCGAGTGATGTTTTCCGTCTTCTCGTACTACAAATTGTTTATCTACACATCTGTATTTAAACTTCAAGATTTGTAATTATAAGCATGTAACTATAGTCAGTTTAGGGCGATATTTTTTCTTGATTGTTTAATGTTTAGTCTCATAAGTTATCATTCATTTTTGCCTGTTACATGCTTGTATGCCAAAAATGTTGCATCATCACAAACATGCTTTGATCTGGAAATCAAGACTTGTCATTCCTCTTGAAACCCTTTTCAGGTAAAAAGCCGTTTCACAACTGGTGCTGCTTCACGATCTTTCACTTCTACCTCCTATGATCCAGTTACAAAAAATGAATTTGAATATGTCAAAGTTGAGAAAAATCCCAAGAAGAAAGGCTATGTTCGGCTAACTACCACGCATGGAGATTTGAACATTGAGCTGCACTGTGATATAACTCCTAGGACATGTGAGAATTTCATCACTCTCTGTGAACGTGGCTATTATAATGGAGTAGCTTTCCATAGAAACATACGGTATTGTGATACTTCAGATCCTATGCTCTAAATTTTTATTTGTTATGCAACTACTTTTCATGAGGTATTGCTATCCATATATGCAGGAACTTCATGATTCAAGGTGGTGATCCTACTGGCACTGGAAGAGGAGGCGAATCTATATGGGGAAAGCCTTTCCAAGATGAATTAAACTCCAAGTTGGTTCACTCTGGAAGGGGTGTTGTTAGTATGGCAAACAGTGGCCCCCACACAAATGGTTCACAGTTCTTCATCTTGTACAAGTCAGCAAATCATTTGAACTTCAAACATACTGTTTTTGGTGGAGTTGTCGGAGGCTTGACTACCCTTTCAGCAATGGAGAAAGTTTCTGTTGATGACAATGACCGGCCTCTGGTGAGTGAATTGCACATTTTTCTTCTCCTTGTCTTTAGCCTCTACTTGAGCTGTTCTCTCTGACTCATATTCATTCGCATTGCCTAGGTTCTTTTTATAGTTGATGATACTTAGATACTTTGTTCTTCACATAAAACCAACAGGCCACCATATGTCTTAGCATATTATGCGTACACCCAGAGGTACCAACTTAGTTGACACTGGATGCACGGTTGATAGATATCCAGAATAGTTTTGGAGCCGTGTGCAGCAACCCTCCTGCAACTCTTTTTGTGAATGTGAATGTGATTCTGTTATGTATGGCACCAAGTAATAGTGCTGTAGCTTTATTATTGTTCAATTATTTCATATCATGTTTGAATAGGTTTAATGAAGTCAGTAATGTTTAGAAAGTTGAAAAGAATGTTCAGAAGTGACATTAATATTGGGTTATGTCATAAAGTTGGTCTTATATCGAGAATTATACTTGCCAGAAGGTTTACTCTGATACTTGACTTATCAAAACAACCCAAAAAATTAGAAAAAAAAGAATTTACGCTGATATTTGAAGATTTCAACTTACAGTTTGACTTTGTTTGCATGATGAATCGAGCATCCTAAAAAGATTTGAACCACAGAATACCTAGTATGCAACAGGATTAAATCTCCTCTTTGAATTTGATGTATAAGTAAATAAAAATGGTAAAATGTTCCTGTAAGTTTTATGGCTGCCTGTATGAGAGCCAAACTGCGGTGATACATGTAAACCCTTCAACTTTGTTTGCAACCTGTATTTTTTCTGCTTTAGTTGCTTGGTTCTCTTGCATACAGCTGCACTGGTTATTTGTTTGGAAGTTTGCTGTACATCTTGTTGTTTCTATATGGGAAAGTCATTTGAGGATATTATTCAGCTCATTTCCAAGCTCTACAATTAACTAAAGGCGAAGCTACTGCAATTCATCCCCCATCTTTATGTGTGTACCCTGTATTCCATCTTAGTTTTTGCTGCTCTTGCAGGAAGAGATTAAAATAATTACCGCAGAAGTTTTTGTCAACCCTTACACAGATGAAGATGAGGAAGAGGAAGAAAAGGCTAATGAGGAGAAGGTTGCTGAGGATGAAGAAAATGTTAGATCTTGACTCTTTGATGTTAAAGTTGTTCCCATCTTTGTTCTTTTTTTTTTCCCACATAATCTCAAGGCTTCTATGTTGTTACATTTTAGGACAAGGTTGGGTCATGGTATAGCAATCCAGGTACAGGAACAATGGAATCTGGATCTGAAGGTGGCGGAGTTGGGAAGTATTTGAAAGCAAGAACCACACAGGCTGAAACCATCACTGCTCTTGACAATGGTGTGTCAGGCATTGCTGCAGCAAAGAAAAGGAAAGTAGGTGTAACAACCAGAGATCTCAAAGATTTTTCTGCCTGGTAAGCCTACCGTAAATTTTGTACAATTTGTAACTTGAAATGTGAGGGGGCTTATGCCAGCAGTGTAACACTTCCATCTGAGGGGCAATGATAATGAAGAAAGGAAAGAGATGATTTTTAATTGAATCACTACACTTTACTTGTATACTGTATTGTACATGCAGTGCATTTCTGTCAAAATGTGTTGGGAATTCTTTTAATTTAAATATTTCTCTGAGCTAAGGTGCAAGTTTTGTTTTGTTTTGTCTGTCTCCCAATCTGTGCAATGCATCCGCAAAGAGCCATCAATCTCTGTCTAGTGATTCATTTCCAGTTCCATATGTGTTACATTTTCTGCTCGATGCCGAGTGTAACTGTATTTTGAGGGCAATCTGATGCTTTCACAACTATTTCTAAAATTAGAAATAGTTGCGAATTCAGCGACCAAATGCCCCTTAATGGGCTGTTGTTCTAATGTTGTCCCCCCTTTTTTTGGGTGAGAAACTACAATATTTGGTGTTTTCCCTTAAATGTGCTTGTCGCGAAAGGCTACATCTTGCTTCTAGAGCAGTAGGCCTCTCAGAACACTATTTTGAGTCTGACAAACTTGTTCCGTACTCCTCTCATCGCGCATGTTGTTGATATTTGACCCTTCTTTTAAGCTTCCCCTCCTCCTTTTTAGGGGTACAACTTGGATAAGTTGAACAATCAACTCTAGTTTAATTTTAGGTATATAATCTTTAATTTTAACCCTAATTCTAACCTTATCGTAGATTAAGAAATTCAATTCGAGCACTGTCCGAGTTTAATTCGGACGGCTGGGGTTGAATTCAGGCTAATGATTTTGGATTGATTTCGAGTTATTTTACGGGTTTAATTTGGGTTGAGTTCGGGCAGAGCCCAAAATAGTTTTTTTGGTTCTAAACCTAATACATATATTACATAATATTCACCTAAATTAACAACTAATAACTTTAACTAAGTTTTTAATAGTGCTAATGTTAGAACAAAAATAAAAATGAACGAGAAAGACAGAAAACAATAGAACAAAAATGAAAAATTAGTGTTAATACTTTATATATATATAATTTTTTTTTTTAATTTGTTGAGTTCGGGTTGAATTCGTGAATCCGAGGCCTTAACCTGAGTTCAATCCAAATTGAATTCGGATTGAAGTTTTTTGACCCAAGCTCAACCCAAGTATTAAAACTTTTGTCCAAACCCTAATTTTTTCGGATTGAACTCGAGTTGAAATCGGGTTATTCAACCCAAATTGCACCCTACTCTTGCAGTTTTGTTCCTCAAAGGTGGGAATGACAGTCATTTCACGTTTCTAGAGTCCTATTTTTGCTCAAGAAGTATCATTTTAAAACTCTTGCTACTGCAACTTTTTTCAATATTAAAATCCCAAGTTGAAGTTAATCTCAGGTCTTCTCCAAGCTCATAGGCTCTTAGAACTAGCAACATGAGGTCAAATCCTCTCTTTCATGGTAGATAATATCATTTACAAGTTATAATTTATACCTCAAAAAAATTATAACTTAATCTTGAAAAATTAGAAATTTCAATATACATCCAACAGTAGCGTAACATTTCCCATATCTATATATTTGTGCAGGAGTCAATGTTGATTGGCATTTAGGTACGAAATTAAGGGGTTGTTAAAATTAGAAAAAACTCAATTTGATTAAACTACTATCTAACTCTATGGGGTTGTTGGTGCCGGCAGTGCTTCGTCAATGTGGAGGAATGTAGTTCTAAATAATTGATTTCTTAAAACCCCTGCTCGGAGAAGATGGGTCTTAAATTTCCCCAAATTGTCTTTTCCTAGTTTGCAACTTCTTGTTATGAAGGGGATAGAATTTTCATTTTTAATTGTGTTGGTGGACGTAATACAAGTAGTACTTTTTGTACTTATGCTGCTCCTATTTCTTTGAAATTATTGAATTCTTCCTCAACCCTTGCAGAATCTTTCATATGTCCCTTTTTTAAATGCAATTTGGGGAAAGTCTATGGTACCGAATAGTGATTTTTGGCGGCTGAAAAACGGTTGTAGATCTACCTTGAGATGTGGTAACGATAACGGCGACTGAAAAATGATGGTAAATCCACCTTAAGATGTGGTAACCTCATCTTATATCTAGGTGATAATTTTACTTTTATTACTCGTAACTTAACTTTAAATAGTTATAATTTCACAATCAAAGGTAGTAACATAACCTTAAATAATTATAACCTTACTTTTAAAAATAGTAATTTTACTTTTAATTTTGTAACCTCATTTTCAAAGTAGTAGCCTTACATTTAATAATCATGATCGATCATGATTAATTAAGATCGATCCCAATGCCAATTTTTTTTTTTTGTTATTCAATTCAGTTAAGATCTATCATGATGAATTAAGATCGATCCCAAAGCCAAATTATTAGTATTTTTTTTTTTTTTGCGATTCCACTCAATTAAGATCTATCCCAATGCCAATTTTTATTTTTTTTTGCTATTCCACTCAATTAAGATCTATCATGATTATCTAGGATCTATCCCAATGCCAAATTATTATTATTATTTTTTTGCAAGTTCCACTCAATTAAGATCGATCCTAATGCAAATTATTATTTTTTACATTAAATTGACATGTAATTTTATGAAATTTTAGGTTAATTTTATGAATTTTAAATTTATAATTTTGAATGTTAATTTAATACAATTAAATGTCAGTTTAATGTTATTTTTGATGAATTGAGTGTTGGTTGGATAAAATAAAAAATAAAAAATAACACTAATTTTTAAATTCATAAAATTAACATTAATTTAAAATTCATAAAATTAACATTCAAAATTATAAATTTAAAATTCATAAAATTAACATTAATTTAAAATTCAAAAAATTAACATTAATTCATAAAATGTTAATTAATTTTATAAAATTACATGTCAATTTAAAAATAACATTAACTTTAAAATAAAAATAAAATAAAATTAATTTTTAAAAGTTAATTTTATTTTTTATTTTTTATTTTATCCAACTAACACTCAATTTATCAAAAATAACATTAAATTAACTTAAATTAACATTCAAAATTATAATTTGGTAGTGGGATAGATCCTAGATAATCATGACAGATCTTAATTGAGTGGAATAACAATAAAACAAAAAAAAATTGGCATTGAGATAGATTCTAAATAATCATGATAGATCTTAATTGAGTGGAATCCAAAAAAAAAAAAAAAAATTGGCATTGGGATTGATCTTAATTAATCATGATCGATCATGACTATTAATGTAAGATTACTACTTTGAATGTGAGATTACAACAATTAAAAGTAAAATTATAATTATTTAAGGTTAGGTTATTATCTTTGATTGTAAAATTATAATTATTTAAGATTAAGTTACAAGTAATAAATGTAAAATTATTACCATCTAAATGTGAGATGATGTTACCACGTCTAAAGTGAATTTACCACCGTTTTTCAACTGCCGCTACCACATTTTAAGGTGAATTTACAACTGTTTTTCGGCCGTCGTTTTTTTTATTCACCATCGCTCACCACAAACCAGGTGGTACGGTACCCACTCTCCCGCAATTTGGACTCATTCATGTCATGTCACCACCAAGCTCTAGTATTCTGCCAATTCCTTTTTTTTAAGCAAACATACATTCTTACCGCAGGGATGGCAATTGGTTGTACATTGTTGGGTGTGTCATATTAAAACTTCTCGTACCAAATCAACCCACTAAAATGCAAATAGAGATCAGAAATATAGTCAATACCACGAAGAATAAAGAGATATCATCTATACCCAATGAGCGTGTACAGTTGAATTTATGTTATGTCGAATTTATGTCATGTGTAAATTTCGATTAAGACGCATTTAACGAGTTTGTATACTATGTAATCGAATTTGTATAGTTTAATGAATTCATCCGTGTATCTTTCGAATCCACTTAATCGTAATATGCTAAATCAATGTCAATTTTGCCTTAGGCTCACAAGTCATTTTTAGTAATGGGATTTTTTACATTTGGTATGATTTTTGAATCTTTTTACCTTAATTTTTATTTGGATCTAAAAAATGATAAGGATCGAAAATACTCTTACTACATTTTATTAGATACCAAAGGGATTTTTTTTTGCTACATGGTGTTCAAGTTTACACCGATTACTCCCTTTAGTTTAATGGCTGGTCACCGTGACTCGAGCTGGTTTAAAATATGTCCTTAAATGGACAAATGTGGTTAACTATTAGGGAGTATAGAAAGAAATTAAATCTGAGACATTTAAGTTTCTAAAAATCAAATTCAATTATCGAACCACCTTAATGATTACCAAATAGAATTATTACATATATATGATTGTGGTGATTTTCAATACAATGTGGTTAATTAAAATATTCAATTGTTATTGAGTCATCTAACAAGAATGATTGAATCAGTCGGCTTAGAATTGATGTAACTAGTGAAGTTGCTGGGATTTTTTTTGAAAAAAATTAACTTAAGGGTCCGACAAATAAGTGTTGTGAAAATTTTTCATTAGATGTATGTGCCATATAAACGATAGGCTCTAATCTAGCCTAAAAAAAATGTGAGAATACAACGGAAATATCATAGATTCGCAAAGAGCCATGCCTGAGTAGAATTGTGCCTACCAACCCTATTGGTACTCAAATGTTGAATGAAATCAAATATTGAATGGGTTTGATGAAGGACACTAAGACTTTTTCCTGAGACAGTGATGACACTGCTGCCTGATATCTTATAAGCATCGAATATTTTATTGGGCTGTGGGGGTGGGGTGGACCAGAAGGCCGGCATAACACCTGTGAAAGCTTTCTTGGTTGGTCAAATTGGCCAATTAGAGGGGCTGGGGAATGGGTGCTTTTGAGAGAGACATAAGAATTGAGTGAAATACCTTGCATCCCAAATTTGAAATCGCAAATCAATAACAATCCTTAGATGAATGAGTCTCAATAAAAAAAAGTAGGGGACTTGTGGATGAATGGGTCCAATTGACTAAAACCGTGTTCGTGGCTAAAAGTGACTGCGGCAGGCCACTGGAATTGAATTTTAATTTATTTTTTTT